TAAGCCGTCTATTAGTAGTGACAAAATAATTTTATTAGCTCTGGTTTTCCGCAAGCAGTGGTAACAATCTGCTGCTATAATGGTGATTTGAAATGAATCTTATTAATTTGTTTGCTCATGTTCTGATATTAATATTGAATTGAGAAGCTCTTCAATAGCACTAGTCTCAACATTTCAGTTCTTAAATCCAGAACCTTGATTTCAAGCATGTGTATATCCAGCCGAGGTTCCGTTCACAAGTAATCGCGCTTGATTATAGAAGCTGCTACCTGGTGTGGTTTAGCTTGCTGGGTGTGAGTAGACAGCACGACCTATCGCCCCATACGTGCTCAATCAGCCGTCATAAAAGTTCGTTGAAATAAGTCATTTTGCTCACTGGCCCTGTCCTCCAGGTTACACTGCTGAGTCACCTGCGATTTGCATATGCACAGTAAGCTAGGTGGTACCTAACCACGGTAGCACCATTTATATGCGTTTTGCTTTGTACAACGCTTGCTTGCGTGCGTGTTTGTGGAAAGTTCCAATAATTGATCGACATTTTAGGCGTAATTTTTTTGCTTACGAATTCAAGAGGCCTCACTTACGCTATCAAGAAGGACTAGGGATTGATACCTTCCATCTTTTCTTGGTTTGTAGTTACATTCAAGCTTCTTTATTTCACGTTCGCTGTCGGTATTATGTATGTGTCACACGTGTTTCTCGCTATTTTGATTATCCGTCGAACACCTCTGATTTTACCTTTGAAGTAACAGAGGAAAGTGCCACGTCAGAAACGTTGGGTACTTTGATAGTCATATATGTTTGACGTTTGGATGATCAAACGAAGGATTACGCAGGTGCATCCCGCTTCGGCGACACGTATGCGTTATCACTTTGAAACATCCATTTGGGTCATATTTTGCCACAAAAGCAAAATTTAACTTGGAGCAAAGGATAGGATTCGAGACCCTTTTAGCTTAAGGAAAAGTACATTCTCTTCCCTTGACTGGCATACATTTGTGATGTGATGGTCGATGTTCTCCTGAGAATGTCGGTGATTTAAAATCTCTGCAGAGTTAACTATGCGAATGGATTTTAGTCAAGCAGACTGTGATGCAAACATCCGCTGACAACCTATCTACTCGTTACATTTTAGCTTTTGCATAGGTCTCTCGTATGCAATGTGGTCGCTGCTTCTCTACATAGACACGTTCTGTCATTCGGACCCCGGGCCTAGGAAGAATGGCCATAAGAAGACGGAAAATGCTTACTGGGTCTTAGTGCTTTCGGTGTGCCTCGTTGTCGTCTTCCTTGGTTGTCTAATCACTGGTGAGGATTTGGAATTCGTTATATCAGCAAATTACTGGGCCACTTGCAGTTATCGAATCGGTTGTTGAAATTGCTACTTCCTGTTCGAGAACCACAACCCATTTAAGGATATGAGAATTTTTTCATTGTGCGTTTCAGATTTATTAATTTGCCTGGAACTTCTAGTTAAATTTGGCTCTCAATCTGGATTGAAATTCTTTTCTTAGGGTATACTATTCGTAGTGGTCATTATTTCTACCTGTACGTGAGTCGTTGCTATTTTTAGCACATCTTCAATCTCTCCTGCGGACCTTTTATCAATTACTGCCATTTACTCTGGGTCTGATTCTACTATGGACGCCAAGTTATCGCCAAGGCTTGTTCTATCTCTTTCATCGCATTCATTCGCCTGAAAAGAAGCATAATGGCTTTAAACATGGCTTGATGATTATGCTCCTGGTCGTACTAATGGAGTTCGCGGTAAGCTTTTCTATCTACCATTCAGTCGGGGTTTAAGCTAGGTCTCCACAACTGTAATATATGCTATGGGG